ACCACCATGCCTGGCAAGACCCTGTCTCAAAAACACCATGCCCATGTATATATTAGTAATAAGTCATGTTGAAGGGGAAATTCTATTCCTCAGTCTGCTGCCCCTCCAACTGTACTGTCTGGCCCCCATGGCAAGTCTATTCCTGTCTCTTCCTACCAGAAAACCACTACTAATAGTATTCTTTCTCTAGATTATTTTTTCAAACTATGTCTGACATTATTATTTCTCAAGTCTTTTAAATGGTATATGCTTAAAATTTGGCTATCATAACACAAATCCTGTTGTGAAATATAAATATGAAAAACCTCTGTATTTTCACAGTAGCTCTAGAAGTTCAATCAGAATGTCTCTCATGGGTCCCAGAACAATTGCTTGTCTAATCTTACAAAATGAGACCTCACTTCCCAGAACTGGTAAATATTTACCTTGTGTGATACATGTGGTTAGCAGATACATTGAAGGACAAATAGTTTCAAACTCATATTTTAATGATTTATTTTATTTTTATTTGAAGCTGGTATGTGGTGTGGTGTGTGTGTGTGTGTGTGTGTGTGTGTGTGTGTGTGTGTATGGTGCATGTGTGAGTACATGAGGAAGCCAGAGGGGGTGTTGGATACCCTGGAGCTGGAGTTGCAGGTAAGCTGCCTGACATGGGTGCTGGGAACTAAACTTGGGTCCTCTGGAAGAGCAACAAGTGCTCTTAACTCCTGAGCCATCCCTGTGGTCCCCAAACTCATTTTATGAAATGTAGGGAAGAGAATGAGACAGGAGAAAGTTTACGTAGCAGGACGAAAATTATCTTCTGCTTTCTGAGTATCTGCTTTTGTTGAGAAATCGACATCTGAATAAATCTAAGTGGGCGTCTAGAAACTCTGGCAAGTGAGACTGACATATGCAGAGGAAAAGCAACACCGAGATAAAAGTATAAACCTTTAATCAGCACATGGCAGTGACTGGCATGTGCAACTTTGGTGACAATGTAGTAAGGTTTCTATTCCTGTTGGAAAAAGTGACATCCCATTCATACGAGGGGACATTTGTATTTCCATGAGCAATAGGAAAGATTGCTTCCCGCAGATGGTTTTTATTTGTTTAGCTGCCTGTAGCTTTCAATAATAAGGTCTTTAGGGTTTTCCCTTTAACCCATTAATTGCTACTTCCTCCAGTGCTGATACTGAAACAGTTGATGTCTTCTAAGGAACCTGGCTACTTAGCTTTCGTGCAGGGTCCTGGGGTGCCCCCAGTGCAGTAGCTCTGGGTGCTGGGGAACACATGCTTGAAGTGATGGGTTTATGTGTGAGGGGCTTGGGAATAGCTGCTTTTTGCTATTGTTTTACCCTCCCCTCCCTTCCCTTCTCCTCTCCTCCCTTTCCTTCCCCTCCCCTCCCTTCTCCTCTCCTCTTTCCTTCCCCTCCCCTCCCCTCCCCTCCCCCTCACTCTTGCAAAATTTCATGTAGTAAATGTTGGCCTTAAATTCTCTATGCAGCTGAAGATGGTTTGTGCTGTTGATCCTTCTGTCTCTATCTCCCTGGTGCTAGGATTACAACCATGTGCTGCCACACCCGGTTTAATATCGTGTTGGGGATCAAACCCAGAACTTCATATACTGGTTATGTTGCCCAGCCTGGCCTTGAACTTAGAAGCTTACTACCTCCATCTCCTGAGTACAAGATGATAGCTGTGTGTCTTCATGGCTGGCAACAACCACTTCCAGCCAACTGGGATACAGAGGTAGTTCAGGATTTTCACAATTGATATGGAGGTATTATAAATACAGAGTACACATAAATAATAATAATAACACAATTTAAAAATATTCCTAGTCTATAGACTCATGCTTGGAGCCATGATCCATTTTGAGTAAATTTTTGTATATGATGTAAGTAGGCATCCAAATTCATTCTTTTAAAAATGTTTAAAATTTTGGTGGCGCATGCCTTTAATCCCAGCACTCAGGAGGCAGAGGTAGGCGGATCTCTGTGAGTTCAAGGCCAGCCTGGTCTACATAAGGAGTTCTAGGCCAGCATTGCTGTACATTGTGTAGGTTTTGAGATTAAGAAGTATCAGTCCGGCTGGAGAGATGGCTCAGTGGTAAAGAGTACTGTCTGCTCTTGAAGAGGACCTGGGTTCAGTTTCCAGAACCCACATGGCAGCTAACAACCATCTCTAACTCCAGTTCCAGGGGATCAGATGCCCTCTTCTGATCTCTGAGGGCATTGCATGACAGGTACACCTACCTATGTGCAGTCAATACACCAACACACAGAAAAATAAATATCAGTCCTTCAATTCTGCTCCTGTTTTTAAGTTTTTTATTTTAAAAATATTTTATTTATTATTTATGTGTATGAGTGTATTGCCTCATATATGTAAATACACCCATGTCATGTAATGCCTGCAGAAGTCAGAAGAAGGCATTGGGTTTCCATGGAACTGGAGTTACAGACTATTTTTAGCCACCATGTGGGTGCTGGGACTCAAACCTGGGTCCTCTGAAAGAGCAGTCAGTGCTCTTAACCGTTGAGCCATCTCTCCAGCCCCAAGGTTTTTTTTCAAGATTTTTAAATTTTTATTTATTATGTGTGTCTGTGCAAGTATATGCCAAGTGTATTTGAGGGTGCCTGCAGAGGCCAGAAGAGGTCTTCAGATCCCCTGGAGTTAGAGTTAGAGGTGGTTGTGAGCTGCCTGAAGTGGGTGCTGGGAACTGAACTCAGGTTTTCTGGAAGAATAGTGAGTACTCTTAACCACTGAGTCATCTTTCCAGCCCCTCAGGATTGTTTGGGCTCTTCTGGGTCCCTTGCATTTCTACATTTTAGGATTTTAGGATCAACTTTTCAATTTCTGCATGAAAGGGAACTGGGATTGTGACAGAAATTATATTCGGTGTGTAGACCAATTTAGGGGGCAGTGCTACCTTAGCAATATCAAATCTAATCAGGAACATGAGACATCTTTCTATTTAGTTAAGTCTTCTTTCTTTCAACAATATTGTTTTTAGTGTATGTCATATACTCCTTTTTTATTAAAATATTTTATCATTTTAATTTTATGTGTATGAGTATATTGCCTGCATATATGTAAATGCACCCATGTCATGCAGTGCCTGTGAAGGTCAGAAGAAGGTGTTGGGATCTTTTGGAACTGGAGTTATAGACAGTTGTTAGTCACCACATGGGTGCTGGGAATTGAACCCAGGTCCTCTGCAAGAGCAGCCAGAGCCATCTCTCCAGCCCCAAGACCACCATTCTTAGCATGAAATCCAAGGCCTTGGATGCATGAGTCTCTATATCAAACAACAACAGCAACAACTAGGTACACAGAACCAGCATGTTTTAAGGTTAAGGATGAAATTGGTAGAGTGCTGGCGTACTATGCACCAAGCCTTGGTTTTGATCTGCACATTGCATAAACAGCTTGGGGCACACGCCTGTAATCCTAGCATGTGGGAGGTGAAGGCCAAAGGATCAGAAGGTCAAGGTTAGGGCTAGAGAGATGGCTCAGAGGTTGAGTGTATACTCCTCTTTAAGAAGATCTGAGTTCAGTTCCCAGCACCATATGTGGCTCACGACTGCCCAAAACTCAGCTATAGGGGACCCAATGCCCTCTTCTTGCTTTCACAGGCAGTGCTCTCATGTGCACATACTCACACATAGACGCATATAACTAAAAAAAAAAAAATTGGAGCTGGGCATGGTGGCACATGCCTGTAGTCCCAGCACATGGGAGGCAGAGGCAGGTGGATCTCTTTGAGTTCAAGGCCAGCCTGTTCTACATAGTGAGTTCCAGGCCAGCCCCCACTACAGGGAGACCCTGTATCAGAAACAGCCCCCCCCCAAAAAAAATTGGGGGCTGGCTCAGCAGTTGACTGTCTTGCAGAAGACGTAGGTTTGGTTCCCAGCACCCACATGGTGGTTAACAACCATCTTTAACTCCAGTTTGATGCCCTGTTTTGGCTTCTGCAGACATTGCACACACGGTACACTTACTACATGCAGGCAATACACTCATACACATAAAATAAAAATAAAATATAATCTTTGACTGATAGGGAGAGTTCAAGGCCAGCCTAGACTACATGAGACTTTGTCTCAAAAGCAAGACAAAACAAGCCAGATACAAAGGCCTTGGATGACTGGATCTTTGAGCACCATACAGCCCTAGCACTCACCGTTCTTTCTCTGGCCCTGGGTCCTCCAGCCACCTAGGTAATTTCAACTTCCTCTGAAGCCTGAGGCTAGATTATTACCTGACTCACCTTCACAGTTAGTGACAGAAAAGGCAGTTTTCTTTCTGGTAGACAAACGATACTTTTTGTATTTCTATTTTTCCTGCTTATTGTCAACTGTTTACATCTGTATCATTAGCATCAAACATCAGTGGAGCCCAGCAAAAGGCATGGCTGAACTGTGTGTCGGGCCCTTTACATACATGGTCTCACTTGAATTTACATTCTTTTTTATGGGTTAAAGGGAGAGCTGGGTGGTTAAGAGCACTGGCTGCTCTTTGAGAGGACCCAAGTCCAGTTCCCAGGACCCACACGGCAGCTAACAACTACTTGTAACTCCAGTTACAGGGGCTCTAATACCCTCTTCTGGCATCCTTGGGCATTGCATGCATGTGTTGCATTTACATACATGTAGGCAAAATACTGATGCATAAGATAAAAATGTTAAAATTTTATTACATTTATTTATTTATTGTATATGAGTTTCTGTGTGTGGGTGTGGAAGTCAGAGGACAACTTGCAGGAGTCAGTTCTTTCCTTCCATGTGGGTCCTGGGAATCAAACTCAGTTTGTCAGGCTAGGTGGCAAGCACCTTTACCCCCGAGCCATCTTGCTGGCCCTCACTTGTCTTTATGATACACTCTTCAGATGAGGACACTAAATTTGGCTGGGTGGACTGGCCCAAAGTCTTGTAGTTAGTACACGACTGAGTCATGATTCCAGTGGGATGTATTGGATGGTTTTGGAAGTGCTCATGTCTCGACTTGTTTTCCAGTGGAGACTTTTCAGAAACTGCAGAAGGCGAAGGAGGTTCTGACCAATGAAGAGAGGAGAGCCCGCTATGACCACTGGCGGAGGAGCCAGATGTCCGTGCCTTTTGAGCAGTGGGAAACTTTGGCCAACTCAGTGAAAACTGTGAGTTTCTCTCTGGGGATGCTGGGGCTTGTGAAGGTCAGGCTGGTCATGGGTTAGACTCGTGACTTAGTGTAAGAGTCGACAGGCAATAGGAGAGAACCGAGAAGTTAGCTGGTAGTCAGGGGAGATCATTGTTTATGAAACCCTCAGGAGAAATTCAGAACGGAGGCAGCATGAGTCAGTGCTGGGGGCCCATGCCGCGTTCACCGCGTTCTTTAATTTCTTTGGTTTGCTCCAGTGTGTGCCCTCGGTCCCTTGAGCTAGTTTACTTAACATGTCCCTTCAGCTTGTTTACATAACATGGTTAATACATCTATAACAAAACAGGATCCAGTTAGTCAAAGAAAGCTGTAAATGATTCGTAACATATATATGGTGGTCAAAGAGTTATTGGACTTATTAAGTTACTGTGTTATTTTTTTTAAAAAAATTTATTTTTATTTTATATGTATATGTGTATTGCCTGCATGTAGGTAAGTGCACCCATGTCATGCAATGCCTGCAGAGGTCAGAAGAGGCTGTCAGATCCCCTGGGAGTGGAGTTACGGAGAGCTGTCAGCTGCCATGTGGGTGCTGGGATTTGAACCCAGGTCTTCTGCAAGAACAACCAGTGTTCTTAACCGCTGAGCCATCTCTCCAGCCCCACCGTGTTATTTCTTTTAAAAAGTATTTTAATGGGGGCTGGAGAGATGGCTCAGCAGTTAAGAGCACTGACTGCTCTTGCAGAGGACCTGGGTTCTGTTCCCAGCACCCACATGGTGGCTGACAACTATTCGTAATTCCAGTTCCAGGGGATCTGACACCCTCTTCTGACCTCTGTGCTCATTGTGTGACACTGGTGCACTTACATGTAGGCCATACACTTATACATGTGGTATATATATTCATACTCACACACATATCCACATAAAAATAAATCTTAAAAAATGTTACTTAATTTTGCATATTCAGAAATAAGATTCTTTTCCTTTTTATAGATATATTCATTTTTAATTATGTGTATCAGTAGTTATGTATATGAGGGAGCAGGTGCCTGTGGAGGCCAAGCACCAGATTCCCAGGCCTCAGTTCCCCCTAGACCTGGAAACATGGAAGCTCCCTGACATGGATGCTAAAAATCAAACTCAGGTCCCCTGTGTGATAGAACTGCTCTTAACCAGTGAGGCATCATTCCAGTGCAATTCTGAAGCTTTTGAAAGGCTTTCGCAATCATACCCCCCCTTTGCAAACCCTGCCATTCAGTCCCAGGAATGACTGATTAGAATCCTGGTCCCTACCCAGCTCAGCCTCAGTGAGCCTGGATGGCCTAGGGAACCAATTGCTGCAAACGTGTTCTTCGCTGCTCTGCAGACCCCATTCCCTTCTTGTGTTCTTTCTTGTCTTTCCTTTGGCTTTGCCCTTTTTCATGTCTTTCTGCTCCCTCATAGCTTGAGTATCCCGGATAACCCTCCTCCCATTCCCCAAATTACTACCATTGGACTGTGGGTCTACACTGCTCACTTTAGCTTGAATTTGTGCACATGACCCCCTGACAGTCACACACGGGCTGGAACAGATGCCCAGAAACGAGTGAAGACCGGAATGCCGACCATGGAGTGGATTTATTTTGAGGCTGTGAGCCTCATTTCCCTGCTCTACAGTCATGAGGCTTTGCTGACATCGAAGCTGGGGACAGATGAAGGGATCCTGGGGGACTCCAGGAGGAGAGCAGCAGGGCTCCAGACTCTGACCATTCCTTTACCAATGCTATTGTCCAGAAACCTGTCATTTCCCTGGCTTGCCAGAAGCCACATTTAAAAATGCACAGTTGTCCTTCTGAATCCAGTTCTATATGTCAAGTCTTTTCCTCTGATATAAGCGGCTGGGTATGTCACATTTTCTTCACACTTTGAGCAGTGTCTAAGCAACATTCTCTATGTCCCCTTCATCAGACACCAGAGATTCCCAGGGCCCAGAAATTACCTTCCCCTAGTTAGTCCCAACAGGAACACAGACACACGTCCTGACTATAGACACATTTATGGCATGTGAGGCAGAGATTGGAGGTGAAGCAGGCTGTCTCAGGCTTCCTTATGGCCCTCAGTGTGTCCATGATCTCAGGACTAAGTTGGGAAACTCTCTCTACCAGGAAACCATCCATGTCATTATAACACTCAAAAGGGGCAGGGTACAGCCCCAAGGTCAGCTGTCTTAGACTGGCCGTGTAGTGTAGCACGTTCTTCAGGACAGACGTGTAGTTTCCATGGACTTGACCTCGGTGAGCTGCAGACATTGGCATAGAGCAGGCCAGAAGGTCTTGAGTTGCAGAATCCTTCATTTACCGTCCTCCAGTTCCAGGGTCTGCACAGTGGCTGAGACTCACTCTTGTAGAACTTTAAGGGGCCTAGCACATAAATGGAAATATTGGGCACTAAAGTTCAGGTGTTTGAGCTGATAGATGCTTGGGTACTTGGACAGACAATTCAAGTCTGACTGTGAACGATGACAGTGAGTGATTTTGAGGGTCTCCAAGGGAGTCCTCAAGCACCTGACACTTGGTCCAGGGAGACCTTGAGGAAATGGACTTCCTGCCTATGGAGATGATGGAGCGAGTTGAACTTGGGTAACTGAGAAATGACTGTGCTAACAATCCTCTCCTCCAGATCTGCGTACATATGTTCAATTAACTCTATTGGTTCCATTGAGGTTTCTTACATACTCAGTGTCAAGGGTAGACAATGTCAGGGGCAGGGACCGCAGCCTCCACAATGTACTCACTTCTAACTCCTGGATATTACCTGCCTCAAAACTTTCCAGGAGCCTTAAGACATCTGCAGCTTCTGACAGCACAGCTGGAGCAAACACCTCTGCTCAGCTCACTGAAAGAAGAGTTTTTGATATTCATCCAGATCAGGGGATTGAGGCAAAAGTCATCTAAGACCTTCAAAGGCCACTGCTTCACCCCAGGAACTGCTTGGTCCTCCACTGTTTGAGTCTTGCTCATGACCTGTGGAGAGCGGTTGTCATTTGCTGTTCCATCCCATACCTTCCAGAAGTTCCAGGGCACAGTGCGCAAATCAAGCCCCTGTAATTTCCATACCCGAGGGTGATCTTTCTGTGTAATCAGTTCATCCACTCATTCTGACACAGCCCTAAAGTTCTCCAAGTACGGCATCTTCATCAGGCCCTCCTGAGAGAGACAAGGATAGTGCCAAGCCTGAGCTATTGCCCTCAGGATGTCAGTTTGCGTGCTGGTGAAGGCCTCCTTGAACAGCGGTGGGAGGAACTTCGTAGGCAGGTACCCAGAGAGGGCCAAGGCCTCATTCCTCAGCAAACTGTGTTGCCAGGTCTAAGAGTGTAGGTGGGACCTGGATGCTCATCCTGATAGATCTCTAGGCAGAAGGATTCTGGAGTTGTCACCAGAAATGGACACCGATGACAGGGCTCGGAATCCCAGTGGGCAGGGTGGGGTGGGGTGGGGCAGGGCGGGACTTCAGGCTGCAGGCCTCTGAGGCTCTTCTCTCTTTTCCTTTTTTCTTTTTTTAAAAAAAGGTTTATTATTTTTATTTATTTATATGTATGAGTGTATTGCCTGTGTGTGTATAAGTGTACACATGTTGTGCAATGCCTGCGGAGGTCAGAAGAGGGCGTTAGATCCCCTGGAACTGGAGTTAGAGACAGTTGTTAGCCACCATGTGAGTGCTGGGAATTGAACGCGGGTACTCTGCAAGAGCAGCCAGTGCTCTTAATGGCTGAGCCATCTCTTCTGTCCTTTTTTTCCTTTTTCATGTGTATGTGTGTGTAGTATGTATGTATATGCATGTTCATGTGTGTGGGGGTGCATGAGGAAGCTTGGTTGTTCTCCTTAATATAAGGTAGAGTTTCTCGCTTGAAATCAGAGCTCACCCATTTGGCTTGTTTAACTATCCAGCTTGTTCTGGAAATTTCCTGTCTCTGACTCCTGAGTGCTGGGGTTATAGGCAGACCACCTACCCTTACATGGGTGCAGTGGGTCTGAACTCCAGTCTTCAAGCAAGCACGTCCCACGGGGCCTTCTCCTCAGCCTTTCTTTCCTTTTTCACTGCCTTTCTGAAATTCCTTGACACTAGCTAAGTAACATTGTAGCCTTTAACAGCTAGTACCAAGTTAGCCACAGATTTTCCACAGCTCCTCTCCACGTTGCCACTTACATCCTCAGGTAATTTCCTTTTTTCAAACACATCATTTCTGCCTTGGGTTTAGCTTAATGATGCCCCATTTGAGCTCTTACAATAATTGTATTTTAGAACTTACTGGCCACATTGTTTGTCTTGTCACCAAAGTCGGAGTAGTATGCTAGGCTCGCCTTTGGCTTCTGATTTATTTTTATTAGTGGTACAAAACTGATGAGATGCGTGCCTGTCTTTTCAATCAGCATTAGGGGTTGCAGAGATGGCTCAGTGGTTGAGTGCTTGCTGCTCTTGCAGATAAGTTCAGTTTCTAGGTCCCACAGCAGGCAGCTTACAATTGCCTGTAACTGTAGCTCCAGCGGATCTGACACCCTCTTCTGGCCTCTGTGGATACCTACAGTCTCATGGCATGCAGAGGGAGGGAGGTAAGGAGGGAGGAAGGGAGGGAGGGAGGGAGGGAGGGAGAGGGG